TACGAGATGTGGCGTTCATTTGAAAAAAGCGAAATTACTTCCGGAACGACCTAATATACAGAAACGAAATAAAAGAGTTGTCTGGAAATTAAAATGGCAAGTCTTGCACGTGCATTTTCAAATCAACCGTTTTCCTGCCACTGCCATTCTTGCGACAAACTTTCCATATTCTTTAAAAGTTCTATTTAAGCTTTTTCTAATCTCATGGTTGTCAGCTTTATCTTTCCAGATTTTGCGAGCACCCATAAGAAAGTATTTAATCGAGAAAAAATTTTCAAAACATTATTTCGAAGTCAACTCATTTGGCAAAGGAGCTATGACATGATAACATAGCTAAACCAGAATGTTTAACAGAAATACTAATCACACAGTTAGCCTTCCTTTTAAATGTCACGAAAACAGAGGAATGAAGTCTAAACGTGATCAATTGTCGAGGCCACTCAAGAGGCTATAAACCTTTTCTGAATGAATCGTAAAGGTTTCTCTCTGTGATTTAAGAATAAGATTAGAACTGTCAGTAGCCTTTGAGTTAAGGTTAGTCCTGTTGAAGAAAAAATTAAAAAATCTGGTTTTGGAGTTACAGCCTCTCAAAAATGGTCGAAAAATGGACAACTTTGATCCCGCAATTTTTTGTCTCTCAAAAAGTTCCTGAAAAGCCTCTGCGTAAGCAGTCGCATGGTACTGGCTTACGGCTACAAGGGCCAGGAGTTTCTTTGCTAAAATGTTCCTTCTAAAAGGAGTTATAACTTGTCAATTAGAGCGTTGCTTTGGAAAATTTTTTTGTTTTTTATTTCACAGTAATTTTCTTTTTAGAACTATTAGCACAAGTAAGCATTAGATGGGTAAAGGTTTACTGATCACAGAGTTTTAACGCATCTTGAAGTTTGTCCGACGGAATTATGGCACCCTAAACAGAAACAGCAACATGGTACCAATTTCCGAACAACTTAATACTTCGTGCCATTGTCTTTGTTGCAATAGACGCTACCAAAGAATTTTGCGGTTAATAGTTACGCAAAATAAGCTTACCCTATACTAGCTGAAGTTTCTTTAAGAAAGCACTCGAAAGCAAAGAAGCACGCGTTTTCTTTATAGCACTCTCGGTTGAGAATGTAGAGTATAGATATGGGTTGAAATCTTGCAACTCATTCCCCTTCGAACAGATCATGAACTGGTTTACTGAACCAAAAAGCATATGAACAAAATCAGATGTTATCTAAACAATGTATCAAAACAGGGCAAGTGAATGTTTCTAGAAGAAATACTCAATGTACAGTCAAAATATCAAACACAAAAGGATATCTAATGAATGACTAAAATCATTAAATACTCGCATGAAAGTTGTTCGGCAAGAAAAATCCAGATCACTTCAAGGCAAGTATACATTGTACAGGAGTCATTACAAGGCTAACAACGTAAACTAAGCATATCAGTCATCACAGCTTAAATGGAAAGGTACATTTACTTGTGCGAATGCAAATAAGTTTTTGAGGATATGTAAAAAAGATAGCCAAAATTTAATGAATGCCCAATCGCTACACAGTTGAGGAGATCTGAGGGTTTAAACTTTTCTCAAATTTAATGTGATGGTAACTCGCAGCCTTTACTGCAGCAAAGCAATAGACTCTACGAAAAAACGATAGGAAATGCTGTGAAAGTTCTGGTCGTAGTTTATGCCATATTCAAAAACTTTCATTTTTGCTGAATGTATTGGCTTGTATAGAGGTCATAGCTGCATCTTCAAGAAGTGACTTCGAATCTAGTGAGTATGAGAGACATCCAGTACAGGATGCTCGTATCGGGATGACTCGCCCGCATCGATATTTGGACTACTCATGGAATCATCATCCTCATCAAGTTCATTCTCGGACTCTTCCAGAAGGCTCATAATCTGAGCCCTGACCTAAAAATTAAGATCCATACAGTTAGATGTGACTGAATGCAACGTAAAATGTTATTCACTTGTTTTCTCTTTCTTGGTTCCATCTTTTTCAATCGCACCCCAATAATTCTGCAGTATAGGAAGTCCTCGTCATTCATCCAGTCCATTACGCTTCTACCGGCCTGGAAAACCAAGTCTTCATTCTTTCATTTACATCCCTTCAAAGGCCAAAAAACTATTCTACGATGGAATCTCACATTTACAGCTTGTTTGATCATCGCTTGCTCGAGTTGCTGATAATGAGCCATCAACTGATTTTTCAAAAGTGA